AAAAAAAACACTCTCAAAGTGCCGGACGTATCAGGTCTACAATCAGGTGGTTGCTTCATGAACGGAAACACAAAGGCTTCAGACAGGTGCAAACCACTGATTTCACCTCAAGAACAAGAAGGCCTGATGAGGACTTTGGCAGAAAACATCTCAAAGACTCTTCACAGTTGTGGAAAAGAAAATCTTCGGGCAGATGAACTCAATATAACTTGTGCTGAAACGATGCCCATGGGCTCTAGTGTTAAGGTCATCGACTTCAAAGACAATCAATTCTAATATTTAAAATTACGTCAGTTTGTCCAATTACTTTTGAGCATCTGAAAATCAGGGCTTGTGTATAAAAATAGCTAAAATTCCTAAACAGTTAATGCAAAATTGTTGTTAAACCCCTTAAATCAAAGCTAAAAGTCTGCACTTCAATAACATGTCGACTGCTTTACTTAAAACGCACTGCAGTGGAGTACAGAGAAAGAAAAAACACTCTTTTTCCAACAAAATATTGACTTAGTCTTAATACCAAACTAAATACTGGACTTTTACTGGAAATACTGCCCATCTCCATTTCCGTGCTCATGTGTTTGTTGTCCATGCTTTTACTAAGGTGGTCAGTGAGAGCATGTGGGGTAAACAAAGATGCACTGTCAGGAGAATACACAGCTTTACTCAAAAGGTCTATGTTCTGTTCAAAGGATTCAGTTAATACATCACAGTTTTACGTGAGGACAGAGACAAACAGGCACAGCCACTTACAGTACAACAAACTACAGTGTCAGTTATGACGATACCTGAGACAGAGCTAGCTGAGCAACTTGGTACAGAAGATAAAGGTGCTCTAAACTGGGAGATGGACTTAAGTCACAAAACTAAACACGCAACCACACGGCGTACCACACAAACACAATGACATACAAGTGGATACGTAAAAACACATAAAAACAAACCCGGTGGTAAACACAGGCAGCATGCCCACGAGCAAGCCAGAAAATGGAAAGAAAAACAGAAGAAGAGTGAAGAAAGCAGAACATGCAACAAGACGAAATAACTCAAAAACAGCAGGTGTAATGCCTAACTACATATCCACAGATGCGTATGTGCATTTGTCTCTGGGTATTTGGGTACAGAAATGAGGAAATGCTAATGGCAACTTGTACTCTAGCCCTGAGGTGAAATAACAGAGACTGTTATGAATTGTGTGAATTGTGAATGAATTGCGTTTAGCAGATTTGTTTCAGATTAGAATTTAAAATGTGGGCGAGCAGTTGCATTATATGCATAAGTGTGTAAATGACTAAAGATAAATGCAGATATATGAGCCATCAGGCACCTTTAAAAAGACCTATCACCACCCACATGTACAATTAGGAACACTTCAATCTAAGCCAATCCAGTATGCCATAATAACCCACAATCACTTTACTGTTAAAAAGTTAAACTATCAACTTTCTAGAAATGTCAACAAAAATAAAAACTTATTTATGGAAATGCTGCTTTAGTGGATTTGGGTTAGGTTACACAGTGTTTACTAATAAATAATAATATATAAATGAATGAATATTTAAATACTCAATCTAGAATAGCACCTCTTTGAAAAGAAAGAGTCCTAGCTAAAAACACATATAGATATATATTTAACAAATACAACTATAACTGTACCTGTGCAGGTGACTGTGGCAGAGGTGTGTGTGTGGGGCTTTGAAGTGATGTGCTACTCTGGCTAGATGAGGCAACCTGAAGAGGGACAAACAGAGAAACGTGGGTGAGAGAAAACAGTGTAGATCAGGGGTGTCCAACTCCAGTCCTCGAGAGCTACTGTCCTGCAGCTTCTAGATGCATCCGTGTCTCGACACACCTGAATCAAATCAATGGCTTGTTACCAGGCCTTTGCCAAACTTGATGGCATGCTGAAGAGGTAATCCAACCATTTGATTCAGCTGTGTTGGAGTGGGGATGCATCTAAAATCTGTAGGACAGTAGCTCTCGAGGACTGGAGTTGGACACTCCTGCTGTAGATATTTACATAAACAAAGATACTCTTTATGCGTTTGACACCGAACAAAATGATTAATTTAGCAAACTGCCAAAAGATAATATGGCTGCATTCTGCCAAAATAAGTGTTACGATATAAATTTAAATGTGACCAAATTATAAAGGGTCATAATATAAATGTTATAATTGAGTATAATTTATTGCTCAATCAAAGTTCAGTTCTTTAAAAACTGTGCCAGCTCTGTGGGAGTGGTTACTCTGAAATGACCAAGGCGATATGCCAGTAATTTCCAATGTGTAAGTGCTAAAAACTGCACTTCCTGAGACTGCCAATAAAAAGCAAGTTTATCAACAGTTTCCCATGTTAAACCGAAACACCAAAAGCCAAAACAGTTTTTGGCATCTAAAGATAACTTTCCCATTCCTAATGACTACATGATGGGTGATTTGTGCATTTATTTATTTTTTGTGTGGAGTTCA